CTTTTCACTGGTCGTTCTGCTTTGCGGCGATTTCCAGAGAGTTTGTTTGTCGTGTCATGCAATTGTCTCACGTTTCCTTCTCTTGCAGCCTTTTCCGCCGTCGTTGCTAAATCTTCCACATATTTACGTTTGTCGGTTCTGATGCTCCTCTTCACTTGTTTGTTTACTTCTGTGTATTCAGCTTGTGCCTTGGCTTTTTCTGCTCTTGTTCGACTGGTATTGATTTCTGCTTTATTGTTCCTCCTTTCTTGAATCTTATCCAGTGTATCAACAGTGATCCATTCCTTGTGATGGTGCTTCTTGTGACCCAGGACCTCATGACATGTTGAAGTGATTGCCTCTTTGATCCACTTCCAGTTGCTCTCCACAGAAGTTCCTTCTCCATTGAGTAGATCATGAAAGGCCTGGAACTTGTTGCTGAGGACTATCTTGAATTCGTTGAGTTTGTCAGTGTCCTGAAGAAAGGCCGTATTGAACATTTGTGGTGTTGTCCGCCCCATTGTCCAGCGCTTCTTGAGTTTCAATTTCATCTTGGCGACCAGCAAGTGATGATCTGTGGCTATATCAACTCCTCTCTTGTTTCGCACCTCCTCAATCGTCCTCCTGAACGTTTTGTTGATGGAAATATGGTCGATTTGGTTTTGTGTAGAGTGATCCGGTGAAGTCCATGTGGTTTTGTGCATGCGTTTATGTGGGAATATGGTGCCGCCTATGGCCAGTTCATTGAAGGCACACAGGTTTGCAAATCTCTCACCATTTTCGTTTCTTTCTCCTAGTCTACATCGTCTCATGATGTCTTCATATCCAGTGTTGTCCGTTCCAACCTTGGCGTTGAAATCTCCCATCAGAATGGTCAGGTCCTTTGTTGGGCACTTCTCGACTATTGACTGCAGCCTATTGTAGAATTGATCTTTAGCGTCTTCATTGTGGTCGTTGTTAGGCGCATAGCATTGGATGATGTTCATTGAAATGCCCTTTTTCTTTGTTTTGAAGGAGGCTTTGATGATCCTTGGTCCATGAGATTCCCATCCTATAAGCGCATTCTGCGCTTGTCTGGACAGCATCAATCCAACTCTTTGTGTATGTGGTGCATTTTCTTCTTCATGGCCGGAGTATAACAGGAGCTCTCCTGAAGTTAGTCGTTGTTGTCCAACTTGTGTCCAATGTGTTTCACTGATCCCAAGTACCTCTAGGTTGTATCTTCTCATTTCTGCAGCAATTTGTAAGGCTCTTCCGGTGTCCCACATTGTACGAACATTCCATGTACCTAAATAAATGGTCGCTCTGGTTGTCAGAAGGGGCATCGGCCTCGTAACTTCCGAAGAAATTCGGCTTTCATCATAAGGCGTCATAGTTCTTCTAAAAGAAGACCTTCTGTCTCCCAGGACAGAGTTGAGAAGGTTTGAATAATAAAAAAAATTTATTCAAGCCAATGTAGATGGTCTATGTCAAATGATTGAGGGCCTACTGGAGTTAGATGGGAATGGTGTGACAAACCAGCTAACTTCAAAGTCACACTTCGCTGACAGCATGAACCATGGATTATTCCTTCGACGTATCGAAGTACCATGGTTGCTTTGAAGACCGTATAACACAAACGACGTTATCATGGAAATATAATGGTAAGGATTAGTACAGTGAAGATATTGAGACCACCACCGCATAAGCTAGTCCATAGCGTACAATCAGCTGATGCGCTTGGTTGTCCTTGACCTTGACAAAGATCGACAATCTGTTCGATATTGGGAAACTCAACTGCTGGATGATTTCTCTAGTGCTAAGAGACATCGCACTAGCCTTACAACGTGATAATAGCCAGCAGGTGCTATAAGATGCAAGTGACGATCAGTGTTACTTGTTAGCCAACCCAATCATTTCGCACGAACGTTCCAAGGAAACTACACCGGAAGATGGACTCTTACAAGTACTCACTTACTCACGCCTGTTACTTCTCTTGTAGGAGCTTGAGCCGCCCATTAGCATTCTCCACCCAAACCTGTCCTCGGCAATAATTCCCAGCTCTTTCCGGTTGTTATTCATTCTTTTCATATCTGCTTTTATTTCCCAAAGTAATGTATTGTTTGGCCTTACTTTCTTCCGCTTCACTTCAGGATTCCGAGCAAGGGCTTGGTTCGTGATGCGGTTTGGTGATTTACGTAATTTATGTCCTATCCATTTACATCGAGGTTTTCCTAATTTTCCATTCAGCTGGAAGCTGGTTAGTTCTCTACCACAGTAGTCTGTTTCTGTCGTTGCTCGATCCTTTACGTATTTCTGTTTGTCAGTCCCAATGTTCCTCTTCATTTGCTTGTTTGCCTTGCTGTATTCATCTTGTGCCTCGGATTTCTGTGCTCTTGTTCGACTGTTGTTGTCTAGGGTTTCGATAGAGATCCATTCTTTATGATGACGTTTGTTGCAGCCCAGCACCTCCGAGCACGTTGAGGTTAATCCTTCTTTGATCCGTTCCAGTTATCCTCCATAGTAGTTGTTTCTTCTTCCAGTAGATTCTGTAAGGGTTGGAACCTGTTGTTGGGGGCTATCTTGAATTCGTTGAGCTTGTCAGTATCTCGAAGGAAGGCCATATTGAACCTCTGTAATGCTGTTTCCCCAGTTGTCCAGTACTTTCTTAGCTTTAGTTTCACCCTGGCAACCACCAGCTAGTGGCGATCTCAAGGTATGTCAGTTCCACTCCTGGTTCGCACATCTTCCATTGTTCTACTACATTCTCTATTGATACAAATATGATCTGCTTATTCGTGGTGTAATCTGGTGAAACCATAATTTTTAAAATGTATTTGAATTATCGTACGAACTAGGAATCCCAGAATTAACGCAATTGAATCAACAATTACGAAACAAACACGAACGAATGTATTGTATTTAGAGTTCGAAATCGAGCATTCAACAAGTACAAAAGAATCATTAGTTAATTGAAACACCACAGAAACCCATGTAGCTTTGTGTATGTGTTTGTGTGGCAATAAGCACTTTGCGGAATGCACGTAGATTTGTAAATCTTCCTCACTCTCGTTCCTTTCTACTAGTCCATGTTGTCCCATGATATCTTCATATCCAGTGTTTACCATTCCGACTTTGGCGTTTCAGTCTCCCATCAAGATGGTTAGGTCCTTTTCTGATTACGTCATCATGATTGATTGCAGCCTATCGTAGAACTGATCTTTATCGTCGTCACTGCTATCATTGGTGGGTGCACAACATTCGATAACATTCATCGTGATTCCCTCCTTTGTTGTTTAGAAGGATGCTTTGATGATTCTGGATCCGTGAGATTCCCATCCTACAAGTGCATTTCGTGCTTCTTTGAACAGCATTAGAGCAACTCCCTGAGTTTAGGGAGCATTTTCCTCTTCGTGATCGGAGTATAGTAGCATCTCTCTTGTATCTAGCCTTTCCTGTGCAGCTTGGGTCCAATGGGTTTCGCTGATTCCCAGTACTACTCATTTGCATCTCGTGTCCGTTGCTATTTGACTGGTCTTCCCGGTCTCTCACACTATCCGGACGTTCCATGTGCCTATAAAAATTGTTGCTCTGGTGACACAAATACCTTCCTTTATAATATATTTCTGCTAGGGTAGGTACACGCCATTTTTACAGGCACAGGAAGCAAACAGTATTTACCTCACGAAGTCAGACAATTAACGAGCAGTAAGTTATGGATAAGTGGAGTAAGAGGATCGAGAGGAAAGTCAACAATTGTTTAAGAATTAATAAATAACTAGACAAACTCAGTTGACTATTAGAAATCCTTTTTGGTTATATATGTACAACTTTTAGACTTATTTTCCTGTACCAAACGTTGCTCTTGCTTTGTCAGTAATAATGATGCATCAATGAACCCTCCAACAATTTTATCTTTATATTTATCGTAGTTTCATTGGGGGGGGGTATACTGATAACGTTCGCAGGTAACTGTTCGTGACACTTGGAATAACTAAGCCCTCGTTGTATGAGTCGCTGTGATTCAGTAAATAACCACTCACCATTTCCCTCACCCACACATATTTAAATATGATTGTGTACTTTCTACTTGCTTCAACTGTTTACAGTAAGTATGAAGACCCGCGTATAAATCCAAATAATTCAAATGCATTTAACGAATAAACCTACCCCGCCTACTTAACAGCTGAGTATCAGTTGTGACAAATAATTATACAACTAACATGCTAGCTAGCCCATACCTAACTTGTGTTGATGATAAGTTGAGTAGACGTCAGGCCTCTGTAAGACGGATGTAACATTGTGTGGACGGAATAACCTCATGACAATAACCAATTATCATCCTTAACGTGAACTAAGCATTCAGTGAACAATTAAAACAATGATTCAATGTTGCTATACTCCGAATCAGTAGTGGAACGGTCGTTAGGAAGATTACTATTAGTCGTACCCAGTTGTGGAAAAATATGACTTGATGAATCAGATATTTTGCCGGATTCGATTAGATAATTGACGTCTAGAATTCTGCGGAAACAAGAACTCCAATCAGCTTACAGCTTCTTCATGATAGTGAAAGCAACTTTCTTAATTGGAAGAATTCTTTCCGGTTGTATTTTTCCTAACTGAACTGCTTGTACCATTATTATTATTTCACTCACACACGAATTTCTGTTCGTCATTGTTTTCCTTTTCCTTATACGCACCTTACATTCTCTATCTCTTCACACTCTTATTGTGTGGCACATATATATTTGGTGCCCCTTTGTACCGATATTTATGTGTTCAAACAAATAATATGAAGCTCGTGTATCAGTAAAAATTGGATGACCACAAAACAACAAAGTCTTAGGTGTTTCTTATTCTATAATTCTCCAGCTGAAGTATTTATAATCACAATTACTAGAACTAAAAAAGCATAAAATGCAAATACATATATATATTTTATAAAGACATAATACAATGACAAGAATATTTGTGGTGTTGATATACAACAAAACAACGCAGAACAAAATATGATAACTGCGAGCAAAATCACGAGTAATTTATGTACCAAATACTTTTACTGAACGATCACGACTGGCTGAAATAACCGTAGTTGCATTCTCACCAAAACGAACTCCAGTTGCTGGAGCTGTGTGTGCATTGAACGAAACTAACTGATCCCACTGTTTGCACAAATACACACGTACATCAGTACCAGCAACAGCAAGATATGAACCAGACTGGTCGAATTCCACATCGCATATTTCGTAGGATGGTTGATCTTCACCAGGAATCTACAATAAATTAATGTACACTTTTGAACCTCAGATACAACATTATGAAATAGTGTGAACTATATCGTTTAAATTGTATTTAATTGTGCTTAACTAAAATCAAAAGGCAACCTGAGCAAAAAACCTATAACAATAAGACCTATGTAAATATCCACAATATTAAATAAAACACCACTAATATATTAAGAAGAATGGATCATTATACAGAAAATGACAATCTTACAAAGAATATAAGAACGTCATTTTATTCTGAATAAATGAAACAATGTGAATCAGTTGATTACCAACTGTAGTTGTATGTATTGACGACTTTTGATTACAGCTAGTAAAAATAGTGCATTTATGTGAACAGCAAGTTTCCATGGATTAAAATCCTGAGGTTTCTCCACTTCAGTGTTAAGCTTCTTCTCCAAATGAATAAATGGTCTACATTTGAAGACAAAGAACTACAATCGCTGATGAACTATGGGACGGATAAAACTACAACGATAGTTAGGCGATACAGAAAGTTTTTAAACGTTTTCTCTACCATACCTAGTGTATTTGTTGTATTTTATACTGAATTCAAGTTTTAATACACAGAATTTCAAATTCCTCGATGAAAGAACACTATTCTTTGGAAACACGGATTAAATGAAGTAGAGAATATAAATTCAAGAAACAGGATATAGGACATACTTTACTAGAGGCCTAGATGTAATTCACCAATCACCAATAGAAGAACTGTAGCAACTATCCTACAACCAATTTCGATTACGGTTAATCTTAGTTAAGCCCTCTTATTAACTTACTTAACAGACAATGTTATTTGAACAGTAACAATTCGCATATTTCTTTGTACCGTGATGATCACTAGATCACACTCTAGCTAAAATGTTGATTGCTTAAATATCACTCGACCATTCATCCTCCTCCCCATATATGTATGTACTCAAATCCTATTATTAGTCCTTGCTTTGCCTTGAGATTTATATCATAACGGTTATCGAGGTGACCGATTAAAGAAGCAAAACTACTACAGACCTATTGATGGACAGATGTTATGAGATCAGTCCTCATCGATAAAACGATAAGAGACCACTATAGTGACTTGAAATAGCATACACGGTTGCAAGAGTACATATGTTCGAAAAGGACAACAAATCACCTACCAAAGTTTTAAAGTTCTTTAATTTCCGCAGATCCCAGAGCTTCACTTGACTATCGCCACCACTTGTAGCCAGATAATATCCATTTTCCGAAAAAGCGACAGCTGTAACTAGTTGGTTAGTACCTGAACCATGTGCGAAATTCGCAACGTTGCGCCGTTCCTTAACATCCCAGATTTTCACCTCCCCATCAGCAGTACCAGTCCCAAGAATAAGACCATCTGGATGAAACTGGGCGCAAGTAAGTGCTGAAATCATCATTAAAAAACTGAAGCGTTATAATACTAAATATTTTACTTATTGTAACTACTAAGGATCACAATACAAACTGAAATAATGGAGAAGATTTGAAACTCAAATGAATGATTTTGGTGTTTTTCAGTTTTCCGAGCCAAATGGTTTTAATTGCGGTTGCTTTCATTTCGGTGGTAAAACTTTCGAGAGCACATCAATGATATTCAGAAATATGGACTAAATAAATAACTAAATATAATTGGTCTAAAACCAATAACACGAAAAGTAATTATCGACGTAGATTTCAAGTTCATAATACACTTTCATAAAGATCTGAGATAAACTAATGCTCACGATTTCACTTGAAATTAGCAACACGTGTAACTTGAATACCTAAACAATATTACATTTAGTTGTGAATTCGGTGGAAATTTATACAGAAATATCTACAAAAGGTAGACAGATTATTTGAAATGAATGAAATATAACTTTGTCACGGATACTAGATCCCCAAAATTCACTTGGTAAACTACTCATTCTTGTAATTTAGTTATGGAAATGTCAATTTCCCATTTTTGTGTCAAAAGCGCCTATTTTAACCTTCACTTGGTATTTCACACCTAGAATGATCTTGAATGTCTTTGGCTCGTTTCCGCCTTTAGTACGCTATCATGTGACGTTTTTCAAGGACATTCTTGTATTGTATATATATATGCATAAGTTGAGTGCTTGTTTGTTCACTCTTCCAAGCTGTTTATGAATCTGGCCTTCTTCCCCCTAGTTAGCAGGGTTAGGATGGAGAGGAATACATTAGCTTGTCCCGTTGTTGTGTTGCTGACTTTCGTTCCGTTCGCCGGTCCTAGGTGATATCTTAATTCTTCGAACATAGCAAATTTACACAATAATCTTGAACAATTAAAGATAACAAAAATCACAATTGACAATGAAGTCATTAGAATAGTGAAACACGCAAAGTAATTTTTTCATTATAATTAAACTGAAAAAAGTGAAACTTCGGAACTACCCAATACAAAAGAGCCGCATAACACGTGTTCTCTAAATAAGACATTTTCATACAATATTCGTAATAATCATTGCTCCAAGGGACTAGTATAAATTACACAGAATTATCTAGAACCAAAATAATGATAATAAGATTGATAATAATTATAAATGGGACAGCTTACAAAAGCACTTTCGCGTGTAAATCAAATTATACACCAATTACGGATAATCTGTGCAAAGCTAATAAAGAGACAGAAAATCCCATTCATTTAAAATTGATATAAAACAAATGAAATCTAAGATCCATTGAATTCGAATGCAATGGGGCTAGATATCCATTTTTACATGAGTTTAAAAGTGTTTTCATTCTTGATTGACAAACACGATCACATTGACGATAACGTACTTTTATGCATTGAATTTTGGTATTGTTAATCCTCAGTGGTATAAATAGTTATAAAAGTATGTTAAAAATCTATTTATAGAACAACTCAGATAAGTTTGAAAACTGACCTTGGATACTGCCAGATTTATCCACGGCGGAAATTCTAACCAAAACGCGTCCATGTCGCAAATCACTGAATGCCCATTGACCGTCTGAGCTGCATGAAAGCAAATAATCTCCAGTCGCATGAATACTTAGACCAGTTACAGGTCCCTTGTGTGCACGAATTATACTTGCACATTGACCTTGTTCGACACCCCATACTCTCAAAGTTGTGTCAGGCGAACCTGTGAACACCAATTCTTCAGACGGATGATAAACAACCTGTGTAACCTTTTTGTTATGTCCTTTGAGAATGGATATGACCTTTTAGATGAAAATAAAGAAAAGTGTTAATAAATAACAACACTACAAGTGTGTTGATATATTTCGGGGGTAAATAATACAAATAAGCAAACAGAAGAAAACAAAAAACACTGAAGTCATATTTTAGGAAAAAATACACAAATTTACTTGAAAGCAGAAGTTTCACTCATTTAGCTTGATAAGAACGAAATCAACACGTAGTATCAAACTAAATCAGCTAAATAGATCTATAAAATATAAATAACCAAATTCCAAACTAATGTTTGTGATTACTGCACGAGTACTAATTGTTTCTACATAAATAAAAGCTATATGATTCGGATTGAAGTTACTAGTTTATTAGTTTTAAATAATTATACCACTTTTTATCATTCCACTAAAACTGAGAAATTAGGAAATATATATCCTGTAACCAGGATTATGTACGTGTAATAGATAACACCTATTGTGTGACAACGCATACTATCAACCTGATGGAACTTCAGAATGTAGGGTGGAGTTCGAGACTTGATAGCGAGAAGTTTAACATGCATGCCCAGTTTTTGGCATATGAATATCTTGAATGGATCACAGCGGTATAGTCTTCCCTATATTTGTCCGTGAAATTAACTCAAGTTGAAGAACAACACAGTATCTCTATGAGGTAAAATGAATGTGGTGTGCTAGAAAATACTACATCTTTACCGTTGTAGTAAGTACTCTCTCCTTGTAGTAGGTATTACTATCTTCAATAAACCAAGCCATATGCACAAATCCCTTAACCAAGTTTTGTGGACACATTTGACATTAGTGGTTGTGATGCAGACAGTCAAAAAATACAAAATATTGAAAACAACTATTTCTAACAGCAACATAGCAAATTAAGACGATTGAACCAAAGGATAAGTACCCAAGTACGTGAAAAACGATTAATTACCGAATAAGTTAAGCTGGAGCTACTGTTTATTAGTTGGAATACTCAAATTTTAACCGAATGTCTAGAGATTTCATAAATGCACTATCAACTGAACCAAGAAAAGGATCATTACACTTCATGTAATGTCACAACGCAATTCACAAATATGTGCTATATTTTCAGATATACAATCATTTTCGCCGATGCACTTCTTAAATGTTTCTTTATCTCAATTACCAACTAATTAATCTGCTCTACCCATATTTTTTCTAAGTTAAATAAAACAAAGCAGAAGATGGGGAGAACTTACTTGTGATGTAGAAAGATCAAATACAACAGCAGTTTTGTCGTTACCCCCTGTTACAATTCTTTCAGGAGATGTCTTGCTGATGTCAAGACAATTAATCCCAGGCATGCTAGCAGAATGAAGTCCTACATGATTAGCCAGTTGCTGGTATTCAGAAATAGCTCGAGATCTAGCCAATCCTTCTGGTACTGTTTTTCCACGTCGTTTTCGCTCTGCGGTAAGCTGACTAGCCCGTTCTTGTAGAGTGTTGATAACATCTTCGCTTATACCAATCTCTTCTTGCAGCTTTAAGGAATTAAATGGGACAAGTGCATGAATTCGAAATTATGGTAAAAACTAACTCAAAGGAAACGTCATGAAAAATGATGAACTTAGGGCTGATGTACATAAAAGCCTCAAAATCATATGCATTGCTGTTTATGAATAGGGGACAATTTGTCATTTGGAACATGTTTGACGATTATTTCGAAATAAATGATTTGCTTTGAAATCAACGGAAAAGTACGAATATTTATTCATTTATCTAATGAACATAGAAGTAAATCATTATAATCCGAATCACCAATGTTCGCTATAGGTTAAATTACTATGAAAGACCTCTCCTTGAAAAAACTTTGCGTAATGATTACAGTGTAACAGTAGACAACAAAAGGAAAGGCAATTAGACCTTCAATAGAAAGAAAACAATAAAAAATAATGAGTACTGCAGTAACCAAATGTAACTGAATGAACCATGCGTCTTTAGTGATGGTTAGCAGTAGTACGACCCTCGCTACATGAATAGAGATTCAAAAGCAGGATCCGCTAATTCAGAACTCAAGAAAACCTTTGAACTCCAAAATACAGAGAAAATGTTATCTTGGAAGTAATAAATGTAGCAATACCAATCGAGGGTATAGCAAATGTGGAAAAGGTCTTGGGCATGAACCTGTAGGGATATGTATATAATGGGATCTAAATTAAGAATCTACAGGTAGTTTTGAGAACATAAGTCGCCATTAGTAAGCAACATGTTGGAACTGTCGACATCAGTCAGTCAGCTACAACGTAGGACCAGACACATATGTGCATCGGTCCAGGTTGCCATACCTCATTAGCACAGCAAGATGAACACCGGATTCATAGGAGTGGTTAGGTCGACATCATCATCACTAGATACATCATACCCTACGGTCTGCCTAAACTGGCTTTCAAAGGAAATGTTCTTGAAACCCTACAATTGGATCTTTCACTTCCTAAGGATGTTAATCTTACTCCAGTGAGTACTATGAAACGATCACTCTGAGACCTATTATTACTACGAAGTATTTACCTGTACAAAATAATACAATTCGGGAGAAAAATGACACCTCAATAACCGGCTAAATATATTTTATATCCAGTCCTAGCTGATGTGTAATGTGCACATATAATCAGTGACACAACATGATGAGAAACCTAGAGTGTACAGCAATCTAAATGATTTTTTTCATCAATAAACAACAATGCGGTTCCACAATATTTTTTGAAACTAAGATTTGACCATCTTAGTTTAAGTGTATAAAATACATTAAAATCATAAGATAGGATGAAATTGGAGGAATACTCTTAAAACTCCAATATCAAGATACGACCAAAGAGATAAATGCCAATATCAATTCATTCTTACCTGGTTTGAATCTACAGTACTTGAGTTGTCACTTGTGTCTAAGGATGGAGGAACAGTTGGAGCTGTGCCAGCAGGAGGTTGATGAGTTGTGTTAATATTTTGTACATTCATCTGAGATGGTTGTATTATACCAGCTTGTGGTTTTAATGTAGCCAAAGCTTCACGTGCAGCTGTTACTTCCTTTGTTAGCCTATAAGCCCGTTTTTACACGTTTAGTTAAATTAGCGAACCCATCATTTTTCATAATATTAAAATTTGAAACAAAACACCATCGCAACAATATAATATAGAGTTCCAAACATAGAGCCCAAGTTGTTAAAATGAATGTTATAAGTGAAATGACACTTAACAGTTAGCTTTTTAACACTTTTTTAACTTTGGGATCATAAACCTCATTTTTTAAAATGGCGCCAAATATGTACGATTTAGTTAATATTTGTAATACATGACAAAGATCGGACGCTTAGGTACACCATTGGATGCTCTGATTAACAGTATGCTAACAAACGCCTGTTTTCCGACTAACTCGTGGAAGCAAAGGTGGGCCTTGTCGGTTTTTTGATGCAGAACTCCACCAATAGAAACGATATTACTGACAAACTATGTCCCTATATACTGCCGAATTATCTAAGATAGAGAAATTTATCCAATGTTTACAGTAAAGTTTTGTGAATGTACAACACGAAGTAGAGAATATAGGTTAACTACGAGTGAACAGGACTGGCGAACTCACTATGTTCCTCACTAAGAGTTCCAAAACACTGAATTTTAATGAACAATTGGCGTTATCAAAGTAATACAGATCATACGGAATTAATGCCAAATACATAAGGAGTAAAGTTTTTAAAAAACTCCATTTCGCGAAACGCATAAATGCTGATTATGTTAGTTGAGCTTTGTTTCGTGTCATATTTATTTTAATTATGTATTAATTAGTTGTTTATTTTGTGACACAAGACTTAATTTCGCCATTTTGAAACCGTGTGAGTGATTAGCGTACATGAATTCCAGTATACGTACACTGATGCACAATGGACAGCAGGCAGGTTTGATTGAGACAAAGTCAAAATTCTATCGGATTGCTGTACACTTGAATGAGCATAACGACAATTTAGGTATAATAAGAACTAATTCCGGTTATCAATAAAACCTTAATGATGAGAGGAAATAATTTTTTACGTATGGCCGAATAAACTATTTCCGCTATGGCTGACACTTTGCACACTACCTGATTTCATACTTTTCTAGCCCTGAATGTGGCACTGTAATCAAGCAAATAAAGAAACACTGTAACTAGAATGCTTGAGTGTAAATACATTAATTTGAAAGGAGTAACCGAAATTTATTGAATGTCTATACCTATCTGTTGATAGTTGTCGGGCTTACTCGTTCATGAAACAAAAATCAATCTCACTACATTCAATAATCACGACTCACTGAGAAACCGAAGTACAAAACTTTTTAAGTACTGATGTAAATATTGTGCACTTCGCAAATTCAGTAAACACAATTTTAAATAAACGACCAGTAAGACAACAAGCATATAAGAGAGTTCAGACAATGAAACAAACTAGAATGCAGTTATAACTTGTAGTACAATCGAGAAAATTGGAAAAAGGGATTTTTAAGATATTATGCATTTTTAAAAGGTGCGAATTGTTTCCAAGTCCAATTTGGTACGACTACAGTACTTTAAGTATGACTTGAGTGTGTTTAAGCCTACTGACAGTAGTGGTGAGTGAAACCGAAATAAACAAGTGGCTCAGCAGAAAAAATCAGAGATCCCAAATGCTTCAACGCAGTGTAGTGCCCCTAAATGCCCTGGTACGGCCGAGAGTGGGTAGAGTCCGCTCTACCTCTCAAAATGCTCTCACATGGCCACGCGTATATAGCCTCTGCCAGGGAAGTCCCACTCACTGCCTTCTCGTGGAGGGGGTGTTTTTTACAAAATTGAGAGGACGAAAAGCGAATGTCCGGCGCTTTAACCTGGTTGGTGGACACGGTGAGTCCACTCAAGGGAGTTGGAAAACCCTGATTCCAAACCAACGGTACACATGGGCTCCAGTATCCTGAAGGAACAAATGGCGTATGAACCAATCGTTGGTCACCGGCTACTATGGGAATGCATCTCCTTACGTTGCTCCACTGCCTTGTGGATCAGACCGTCAGATCGAAGGCTCCGGGTGTGGCCCCCTAAGAAAACCACCTGCTTCGGGTTGGGCACCCGGGCAGTATCACAGCCCCCATACATATCAAGTGAGATTTGTGTGGCGCATATGTATTCGGTGCCTCCTTGTACCAATACCTGTGTGTAGTAGGACGAGTATACATCATTAATTAAGTGTTAACTGAAACAATTTCTCACTGAAATCAAAAACATGATTAGATCTATTCTATTACTTAAAGTAGCTAGTAATCAAATCCCTATTTGTTTAAACTAAGGAACCCATTGCAAGATAAAACTATGAGCTGTGAATTACTGATGATAAGATGAGGTAGTAAAAATTTAAAGTTTGCAGGTGTTTTCTATCTGGATGGCTTATATATATATATATATATATATATTGCCTAGTTAGACTGATAAGTAACAATTTGGATTACGATTGTGTGTAAAAGATTTTGGTCCAAATTGATTACAAATAAGCATCTGAATTTACTCTTCCCCTAAATCTCGAACACATTACCTTTCACTGATTCATTCACAACCCTTTGGCTGATTTAAAATGTTTTTCACTTAGACTGGCGTTCCCTTGCTGCAAAATGTAGCTACTATCTGGAGGCTGAGAAACATTTTAAGATTTATTCATTTCTCAGTGGTGACATCTTATCGGATGATCTTTCAGTGTGATAGCTAAGTGACGTAATACTACAACGTTCTGCATTCCGTTCCGAGACCATGGTAACTGCAATTAGCAAAACACGTGGTCGGGGGAAACAGTTGGCACAAACCTTCAAATAAATCAAACTGGTGACCAAAAAGAGGTAATTACTAGGTTAGAGCCTTGTGTTACGCTAATTATCGAAAGATTAATCTCCGTAACAAATACTAGAAATGAGCACAAATGAACAACAAAGTAGTATGATTTAATCTATCTAGAACTTCAAGAGCAAGCTAGCAACCTAAATCACATGACGGAACCACAATTATTTTGGTAAAATACGAAGATAATAACCGAGAGACCCGAACTAGCACTTCAAATGAAAATGTTTAACTTACCTAGCGATAACGCGACAAGCTGCATCATGCTGGTACAAAGCATGTGATAATTCCTGTCTAGCAGTCTGCAACTGCTGTCGGAGTGTAAATGATTGTAGCATAACTGCATCCCACTCATCCTAACAAAAAATTACTCACTAAGTTTTTAATACCTGCAAAGTCTTTAATATAGCAGGGATTGATGTTGCAGAAGGAGGTTTAGGACGGACAAAGGCCGGTGTTTTAATATCAATTAGCTCCTCAACCGCCAAAGGTTGCTGATCGATGGGGTCAGTCCCATTTTCCCCGAGGTATTTTTCAATCAACCGTCTTTCAAAAATATGGCCCGAGCGAGGGCTAACAACTGGATGCTCAGGCACCTCGTTTGATAGGGAACACAGCAGAGACATGCTAAAATATAAATTTTGAGACCAAATGACAGTAACCAAACAAGAAAAGAAGGAAGAACTATAAAATAAGACATTATATTTGGATTATTGTACACAGAAAAAAATGTGAAAGATTGAACTATGCGTTTTCGTTCTTGAAGAGACTGGTTTTTCTTCAGTCAGTGACGAGTACGTAAATCATTCTAAACGAGGTTAGGATACTGTAAAGAACATACCCATATAAATAGTAAAAAAAGGAAATAATAAAGAAAGCAAGCTTCACCCAGCCTTCCTTCATAGCTCTGCTAAGCTCATCATGGTTCATAATCGTAGTTGGATCATACAATCCAGGACTCGACATAACTGGCCGATTTTTGTACCTAAAATGATGAGAATTACTTAATGAGGTTAACCTGTAAATATTATATGCCAACAATGGCACATTTAGTAAGACAGTCCCAATTTGGCCTGTGAACATGAACAATATTGTGAATGCAGCATGAAGTGCATATTCAGGGAGTACGAGCTAAATGCAATAAGTGGCTAAACCGAGTGGTACCGGATTAAGCGATTTACACTGGTCAATAGGATTTTTGTAGTCTGTTCGAAGTTCGTCAAATGAAATAACCTTTGGGACACTGCTATTAATCAAACCCTATTACTTGAAAAATAACGAGGAATATAAGAGCAATCGTAAAAATTAATGCTAATATATAGGCAATAGCAACAAGACCGAATCCCATTCTTCGAGAGATCACCGAAAACACGCGCAGATTGGGTGCTCAAAATTCCCACCAACTACAGGTCATTTAACACTTTCAATGGTTTGAATATACAATTTCTCCGTTGTACACCACTGTAGACCTATTAGTTTCAGTGTCAGTTTGGGAAGGACAGGAGGCTTGATGGCCTGTGTTAGTCCTGGCAATGCTGGTCTCTCATTTGATCCAACTTTTTTTTGAAAGAGTCGACGGATGGAGCCTCAACTACGTGCTGAGATAATGAGTTCCAGTCGTTGATTATTAGATGGGAAAGTCGATAGTCAGCTGACAAGTAATTTTTCCTTGGCTTGTGAACTTTCTTGGAGTGTCCTCGTAAATTCTTTGTTTTGGAAGACAAGAAAAATGAGGGCATATCATGTGCAAATTTGGTACTAAGCAATTTGAAAACTGTAATCAAGTCGCCTCTAGTTCTGCGATATGACAATGGGAAAAGGTTTAGCTTGTCCAGTCGAGCTTCATACGGAAGCTTCGCTATTCCGAGAATCAGCTTAGTTGTCGTTCTCTGAACCTTTTCCAGAAGCTCACTGTCTTTATTTTAGGCAGGGGCTAGCCGCTTGTATACAGTACTCAAGGTTAGGACGTACGAACACTGTATACAAAGTCAAAAACGTTTTAGCGTCGACATGACTAAAATCCCTACGTATTGACCATAACGTTCTAAAACCTTTGGCGGCTATTGCACGGCAGTGTGCAGTAATCTTTAAGTCTTGGGTAACGATGACTCCTAAGTCAGTATATGTCTGGACGACAGGTAACTCAGTGTTATTCATCGTGTATGTATCTGTACCTTGATGACAGCACACTTGGAAGTATTTATCGGCAACTGCCAGGTTTGAGACCATTCAGATAATTTCTTCAGGTCATTTTGGAGTTCTAAGCTGTCACCCTCACATCGTATTGTTCTCCATATCTTTACATCGTCAGCATATAGCAAGACCGATGATGATAGGAGACAACGAAGGTCATTTACATACAAGAGGAATAGCACTGGCCCCAAAACTGTACCCTGGGGCACTCCACTAAGCACAGTTCCCCAGCTAGATAATTTTGAGTTCACCCGTACTCTTTGTTGACGCTTAACTAAGAAGTCTTTTATCTACATAAATAGATTGCCTACAATCCCGACATTTCTTAACTTATATAACAGCCGGTTGTGCGGAACCTTGTCAAAAGCTTTACTGAAATCAATGAAGGCTACATCTACAGGTAACTTTTGGTCCTTAAGAGCGCACCAGCTTTCACGAGCCATTAAAAAGTTAGTGAGACAAGAGTAACCTATTCTGAAACCGTGCTGCTTTTCCGAAAGGATCCGGTTTTTATCGAGATCTTTTGTTTATATTTCTTTGGTGCATTTAAATCGTTTAAAAAACTTTCAAGCACCTTTATGAACTGATCTTAAAGTAAAATGTATCATCATAACTCAATCCGCAATACCACTAGCGTAGCATTTTGGTGTCGGCATAAGAACTGACTTTAACTATTTTCAAGTGTTTATCAAGTTATAAACCACCATTTGGTCACACCTCACCTAAGGGAAATGTATTAAGCTTTTTGGTGCTCTTATCGTGATTTTTCGATCTAGGTAATTGTGCAATCGTATACGAATATTTATTTATTTGTTTATTTGGACACATAAATGTTCGTACAGAGGGGCACCGAATACATATGCGCCACACGGACCACTTGATTTGTGTATGGGCTGTGATGCTGCCCTGGTGCTCAAACCGGAGCACGTGGTTTTCTTAGGGGGGTGACACCCGGAGCTTTCGACCTAAATGTCTCACCCGCAAGGCAGTGGAGCAACGTCAGGAGATACAGTCCCATGGTAGCCGGTGACCAACGATTGGTTCATACGCTTTTTGTTCCCTCAGGATTTGGGGGGCCATGTACACCATTGGTTTGGAATCATGGTTTTCCAACTCCTCTAGGTGGATCCTCCATATCCACCAATCAAGTTAAAGCGCTGGATATCCGCTTTTCATCCTGTTCAAATTCGAAAACAACATCCCCGGTCTCCATAAAGCAGTGCGTAGGGCTTCCCTAGCAGTGGCTATATACGAGTGGCTATGTGAGAGTATTTGAAGTGGGAGAACAAACTCTCCCTACTCTCGGCTGTACCAGGGCATTTGGGGGCTTAGTGCGTTCTTATCCTACTGATGCGGATGTGCTTACACTGTGTTATGTTTCTTAGCATTAATTCAACAACTAAAGACGAATGGGCCAAGAAAGAATTTGAATACGGATGTTCCTTAGTGTTTTGTAGCGGTAAATAAATCCCAAAGTATACAGTACTGCAAGTCTTCGACATTGAAGCTAACCCCGGTTATTTTACTAGACACAACCTAGTTGAAGGCGATCCGTAGCGCATCCACACCACATTATGAGTGGGTACGTCGTGCTGTGCACCCTTTGCAACTAACTAGATTAGATCAAACGCCAGGACCAAAAGCCTTAGGTAGTGAAGTGCTTGTGACACTGACCAGACCTCTCAACAATGTTTACAAGTCCTATCAACGAAAGTAAACTAACTTTCATACTGACTAGCAAATAATTTTATAATTAAAAATAATGTTACCATAAATAATCCATTCATTCAATTATTCAAATTATCTTTGCATTTTTTCCACAACATTTCAAAGTACTGCTATTAAAAATGCGGAGTTATATCCAACAATTCATTATCATTATCTGGTTTTCCGACCAATTCCTGTTAGCTATCAATATATTGACCCATGTGATTATAAACTTGTATAAAAACATGCCCTCCTGGAGTTTTGTTAGGTCAGCGACATACATTCTTTCATGACCTGCTCTGATCTTTCGTCAACCTAAGGCACACATACTTTTGATTCATCAAGCTGAAATGTCGCTCGATTAGTACCTGAAACTCAAATTTCTGAATATTTTTCCTTCTCCAAAGAGGAGTTTACATTCGTTATTCCATTATTAGCTATTTCCTAGCCTCACTTATATTTTTCGGTACCACCCTTCACACATGACTAATTAAATATTAGTTAGCTAGGAGCCTCGACTGTGACGATCGACTTGAGGACTTTTTTCACAAGTAATCATTCGAGTATCTGATCTCCAGAGACTTTCTGTCCAAGAACAGGTTAACGTCGTTGGTAACTCCCTGAACTGTGTTAGACATCGCTTCAAGTGAAAATCAGTCCATTTGAACAGTCTGTTTTTAGAAAAATCCTTTTCAAGACTGTTTGGTGACCTCGTAGACTCGAAAGAATAATTTAGTTTCCCCAAAAATTCAACTTGACGGCTTAATAAACTGACTTTTAAACTGAAGCACATTACTAATTAATTAATGTAAGTTTGAAACATGGTCGTCCTAGATCCTGTTGAACTTATTGATTACGTCTTCTTGTTGGTCAGGATTTGCACAACTCAGTTGTCAGCGAAATGGACTTCATGAGAAAACTGGCTGGGAACCGACCGCAAAAGTGTTAGAACTTAACTTTGAATAATCATGGTCGGATCAATACAACTATACGGACGTAGATAACTGATGTAGTCGATTTAGGGACATTTTGCGTCTGTATGCTCCCTCTCGTCAGCCAAAATCAAACTACGACACTTTTGATTAAATTCTAGTGTATCCAAGATGATTAATAGGAAACATGTTATGTCGATGAAGTTCGAGCGTTAAAACCATTGTTCGCATCTAAGTAGAACTTAGTGATACTTCATGACCGATTTAGATAGTTTCGTTTGTCTTGCACATAGGTTGACCAGTGTACACGCCTATCTCGGCCGAATGAAGTGACAACAGGAGTATCAGTTAAAATTATTGTCACTGATCCATAGACGAGATTATTTATTTGGCTGAATATATTTGTTGACTAGTGATGCTATTTTAAATTGGATAGCGGATTTGATCTTAGGTATCAAAATCTTATAGCGCATATGCAGAACTCATCCGTAAACACAGTGATCAGTCCTGTTATTCAATAAAGTACTTACTAACCAACGCTTGTTACCCCCCGACCGAAGCTGCTACCTTGACGCGGTGGTCGAGCTTGCCTATCGTGATGATCCAACCGAGCTATATTGGCTGGAACATATGTTCCTGTAGGTTCTACCATGCCAGGCAGGTCGATTGGAGAACGGTAAGACTAAAAGCAGTAACCCAAGGTCTGAGGGCGAAGTCGTACTGCTGACTGTAGAGGGGTATGACAGCAGTAAGGTGTCTCCCTCGAACAACCAGCATCTGCAGCGATGCTGCCT